AAGGCATTCGTTGGCAGTCAAAGGCACTCAAACGCACTCGCTAGCACTCAATGGCACTCAAAGGCACTCGCGGGCACTCGCAGGCACCTAACTTAAGTAAAGACTTGAAAACATTTGTACTATATCTGATGGAGTCACAGCCTTACAATCTGAACAGATTGTTACATTACAATATTCTACATAACCCTATGTCTCCCAGGTATATGAAAGAGCGTTTCAGCTTTCTCAGGTCCCAGGATAAGCCCTGTCGCTTTAACGTTAGGTCCCAGTTATCTTTTTCATCCTTCAAATCCGGTTTTTATTCTCACTCCTTCACTGTTCATACGGTCAGACTTTGGAAGGCACTTCTCATTACTGTTCATGATAGTAAATCCTTAGCAATTTTCAAAATGAGAATTAAGGAGCACTATTTATCGACTGTTCCATCGATTAGGTATTATACTACGAAATATGTATTAATCTAAGTTTTTATATAGTTTTAATAATTTAATGTTTTTGATATTTTTTATTACATATTTTTTGTTTCGTTGTGCACGAGAACCCGTTATCGTAATTATGGTCTCCTGTATTTACGTCTGCCGGAAGAAAATACTGTTAAAAATAATCACAGCACCTTTTGTTTGTGTTTTCCTTGTTACTAAATGTGTTTTTGTGTTTACCCGTGCAATAAAATATCGTAATCCTTTTAACAAGTTTTGTAAGCGATAAAGTTTATTATCAACAGAGTTCCTTGTGAAAGAGTTCTATTAGGGAAATACTGCTGCCATACTTATTTCTGACGCCAAGTAGCAATGTGAGCATTAATGTGTTCTTGTTTTGAAAGGTAAGGATGCTGGTGAAACTACAGGAACGTGTGACTTGTCAAAACTATGGGCGCCTTCATTTTAGACGTGTGTAGTCGCTGCAATGTCGACTGTGGCGTAACAGCCGCGCGTGTGTAGCGCTTCAGTATTTTTAATTGTGCATTTATATTATTTTGCGATTCAATTCAATATTGCACCTTAGATGAACGATGTTATATTATTTATAGATGGACTATAATTTCAGCCGGTAGGCCACCTGATAATTAATAAAACTACAGAGGTCACACTAGCGACCAATTGGAGCCGCCCGCCGATTGGCCACGACGACCAGTCCTACGTATTTTTAATTGTGCCTGCAAAAGTGACGCGCGCGTTTCATGACCGTGGCCTGCAACTGCACTTCTAAATATTGTATAAAAAATAGTAGTGGCGCAGCTGCAGCGCCACAGTGGTGTTACTGCAGTGCTCCTTTAGCGTCTAATTTGAAGGCAACTCACAACTCAGGGAGACGGGTGCAGTGAAAGTGCCTACCACATTTTTGCGATTTAAAGCTCTGTTGCTGTGTTGTTTACCACCAGGTGCACGATTTATTAGTGCCGCCATTTGATATCATAAAAAAAGAAAGATTAATAGTATGAGCCACGACAATCCACGACCCAACGGCAGCCTCAAACCGCTTGTTTATAAAGTATAACGCAATTTGTACACAATAATCTATTCAGGACACGTTCCCGTCAAGAATGCCGTTTTATGTTATATAAAACATAAAAAGACACAATGAGCTAAATTTTTGCTTCGTGTCGCAAATTTTGAATACTTTGTTATAATCCTTTGTCACTTAATGCCTTTTAGTATTTAAAAATAAATAATAAATAAATAAATAAAGCTGCGTTATTAAGTTGATTTAGAAAACGGAATTAATTATTAACGATACAAAGATCAAACACAAAGAAAAACTCCTTTGATCTGAGCAGATGGAACCGGTGTTTGTTGCCATGCCGCGGTTACCCTCTTAACCAAGTGAGTTACAGGCAGAGTCAGTAAATCTTACAAATTTATTTGTGTTTATTACAGATCTGTGAAAAACTTATGAAGTTACTCACTCCGCCTTTTCAACCTTTGTAGCTACCAGAAGCTGACGAGGGATGTCGCTGTATTCATTATAATATTCATTTACTGAATATCATGATATTCATATAAATCACATAAAATATATTAAAATCATGGTAGTGAAATACCGTAAATATTCAATAATTAAATATTGCAAAATTATTATAGAAAAAGAACTAGTGGGAAAGTATGAAAAAGTAAATATTTTCGATGTATTCCAAATTATTTGATATATAAATTAAGTGGAATATCATATGATTACGTTATATACATATATATGTATATATATATATATATAATCTCTATATGTATGTTTATAGGAATAACAAAACACGAACTGTAAATACTCTACTTTTAAAAATTACGAATAAAATTACCTCGTCCTTGAAAGTTTTTATTGTTTTACTTGTATTCAGTTAACAATTACATTAAAATAAATTACATTATGTAGGCTTTTATGTCAATTGAAAGTATAAGAGGTAAATCGGTATAAGTGAACAACCATGGTAACTAACTACAATTGCTTGTTCCATAGGAAAAGGTCAAGATGATTTATATACAGTAGTACCCACTTAGTTTCGAAGGCCTATTCAATACAGTAATAACAATATTAAGGAAGAAGTGCCTTGTCATAAATAACAACACTCGTGGCTATTAAAACATCAGATTATTCATATTTGCGATTTTTTTTTTAATAACGCACATACTCAACATAGCCCCGCACTAGGGAAACCCTGTGTCGCGGGTGCCATGGACACACACATAGACAACCACAAATTACACCCAAACTCACGAGACAAATAAATGTAGGTCATACAAATATTTCTCCCGGCCCGGGAATCGAACCTGGGACCTCTGCGTGGCAGTCCGGCATGGTAACCGTTCGGCCACGGAGGCAGTTAATTTCAATTCAACGTTGTACCTTAAATGAACGCTGTTACATTATTATTGTGATGGACTTTATTTCAAATTCATTTTTAGTCCTTGGGCCACCTGGTAATTAATAAAACTAAAGGTCACACTAGCGACCAATAGGAGCCGTCCGCCAATCGGCCACGTACGACCAATCGGTGGTAGTTGAATGCAGTGCTATTGGTGGGTAAATACAAACGGGCCTTAGATAAGTCAGCCTTGTCTCAAATCAACTATGCTAAGGACTAATTGATATTTAATAATAATAATGATTTTTTTTTTCAGAAAGTTCAAATTTTGAATATCCGCACGTGTTTTTTGCCGTCGGTCTTTTTGTTATTTTAAGTAACCGTGGAGATGTCAAAATAATGAAATACTGTAACACAACCTCTTTTGTACTCCGAGTTATTAAATAATGAGCCTTAATGCAGTTGAGCTAAGTATTACACCGTGTTAATGCTGAAAAAACAAGAGATGTTTCATACTGACGTCCGAACATCGGTGTCATGTGACAAACCTGGTGTTCATTTCGTGGTATTGTCGGCCTTTATGTACATGCTGTGTTATATCTTGTCGTTTATGTAAGTGAACAGAATTTTCATAGTCATTCCGAAAGACTGAAGGCTACTTTTACAGTTAAGTTATGTTTTTTAAGTTGACAATATCTGCGAAGTTATACGTGGGGCGCACTATAAGTTTCCGGAATGAATAAGAAAAAACTATAAATGGTCAAAAATGAATTTATTGTTTCTCAAAATATTCTCCGTTAGCGTAAATGCACTTTTTCATACGAATGAACTAATTTTGAAAACATTTTTGCCACTCCTCCGTGAAAACCTCTGAAAGATATTTTTCATACTCTTCGACAGCCTCTTCAGGTAATGAAAATCGTTGACCGCGTAACTGGTTCTTAATTTGTGGAAATAAATACAAGTCACAAGGTGCCAGGTCGGGACTGTACGCGGGATGGCTCATAAGGTCAACGTTGTTCACCTTCGGGAATTCATTTATGTGTCTGGCCAACAAATGGTCGTGTACCAATCACTATTCACGGTACAACGATTCTCCAAAGCAACAGTAACCACGTGTCCAGTTTTATTAAAAAAAGAAGCAATCATTCGCTTAGAGTCACTTTGCACGCGCGCCGCTTTGGTTGGTGTTGGCTCATCTTGAAAGACCCATACGCTCGATTACTGCTTTGTATTGGGATCGTAACTATGCACCAAGTGACGCGATCCGTTTTTTGAGCCTCAGTCAAATTGTGTGGGATCCACCGAGAGCACAGCTTTTTCACACCCAAATGTTTGTGTAGTATTGATTGTATTTGACTCATGCCTATGCCTAAAGATGCCCGAATCTCATAGTATGTTACATGCCTGTCTGTTTTAATCATACGGCGCACAACATCGATGTATTTGTTGTTGTTGGACGGGCGACCATCACGAAATTCGTCACTGAGATTCACACGACCGCGTTTGAATTCTGCAAACCAGCTGTAAATAGTTGTCTTGCATGGTGCTTCATCGCCAAAAGCAGTTTGAAGCCGAACAAAGCTCCGCTGAGCTGTGACTTAAATTCATGGTGATATAGACAACCAATTTCTAAAATGACGCCACAATGTCAAAACAAGTGACAGTTAGATGAAACAAACTATATTCTACAGCCAAAGAGTTCCATTTTCAAATGTTGTAATTACTTTTTAAATATTATTTATGTAAGTGGCCAGTTCCGGAAACTTATAGTGCGCCCTATGTATATATAGGATGGCTGCGGTGTCGTAATCTCGATCAATTAATTGTTTCTAGCTCAGAAAATAAGTACAATTTCATTAATATAATGTTTTTTGAAATACTTATATGTACTAACGTTGTGTAACAAATACTTACCTTTCATGTTAAAAGCTTTTTTAAAACAAAATTGAATTGCCAAATCTCACAGTTATGACAATATCATGATACCAAATAAAAGCAATTTGATTAAACTTCGGGTGACCATGACCGTAAATAATAGGTATAAATTATTTTTTATTTGCACAAAAAAAGTTATTGTCATAACGCTTTCAAATTTATTGCGTTGTGGTCTTAATGGGATTGTAAGTCTTTATTAACTGTGTTGCTACACGACCCTGCAGTCACCTGTATATATCTATATCTCTGTTAATAAAACAACACTTACCGTATTTTCAGTAATGTCACTAACTTCACAATGCAGAATTGCAGTGGTACCAATCTGCGCAACCACTGTCGTACAATTTTCAGTCAAAAATATACCACTCTTAGCTCCCTTCACACTTAACTTATTAACAGCTGACGCTGACGAATCTCTGTACATTTTCTTAACTTTATTAAAATTTTTAGTTAATGATACTTCATCTAATTCCTTTAAGACCTCTCTATGTTTAGATTTATGTCTTTCTTTAATAAGTTCATTCACTTCAGCTTCTATAATATGATCTATATTGTGTACATCTTCATAGTCATTTTCTAATACTGTTGATGATAGACGTAGCGGTTTCGGTAACTTTGGATATATGGATTCGGTTGTAAGATACAATGCCATCGTTGAGGATGATTCTGTGGTCTCATCATCATTTTCAATTGTTGTGTAAATGATTGTTGTTTGTGTTGATGATGTTGTTGTTGTTCTTCTTCTGTGACCTGCGAAAATAAGATGAAATTATTTAATTTTGCGTAACACTTTTAATTATATAGCAAAAAGATCCAATAATATTGATCATTTAATGATTTGTGCACATTATCTATCTTTTATTTATAATAATCAAACCGTTTTGGGGCCAATATAGCACATTAAAGATATTTTGTTTAAACAACAATCGCAAATTAAGATTCTCGTTTTTAAACGGTTACCCATGACCTTTTTTGTTCATCTTTATCCTTGATTCTACATTATTTAAACTCTCTTACCAGATAATTATGGTCTACTTATTTCTAACCGCTTCTATTAATCTTTGAAATTGAAATAAATTATTTTCTTTTTACTGTTAATTGGGGTCAGTTGGTTAAAATTTTCAACTTTCTTCATTAACTTTACTTTGAAGTGAACCAAGGATTAGGATAATTACTCGTAATTAGAAAATTTTAAAGAAAAATATGTATTTTGTACACTTGAAGTGGAATTAAATTATGTTGTTTAAAATGGATGATTTAATATATATACTACTAAGTAAAAACTTCGGCGATAATACGGTAATCATTAATTATCATTCGTTGGCTATTATTTCGACGCCCGTAACACCATTATCTGTGTCAATTAACTCCTCTTTTCAGGTGTCGCGACTAATAGGGTAAGGTAGGGGAGCAACGGTTTCAGTGGGAACATCATAATCAACCGAGTGATCATAACAAACCGATCATATATTATTATTCTCCCATGGTCTTTAATCTTCTGACAATGGAAAATAATTGCTGTACACATTTTGTTGTTTTGAAAAGAGCTTTTCCTAATTATGCTGACTTCCCTATTTCTATGGCAAAGTCACAGTATTGTGTTCCAGAGCAACCACAGGCACATGTGAGATCTTATATGAATATATACATTAATTCTGTTTGGGCGATGCGCAATGTGAATGTTATTTATTTTATAGGTAATAGATTATAATTTTTTTTTATAGACAGTGTATAACATACACTGTAAAAAAAGAACTTATTACAAATGCAACTATGTACTTTCTGATTATTCTTTTGGTTTGTTTGAAAAATCAAATATAAGCGCTTTAGAATTAAAAAAAATAATTTAATTTCAATGTGTAACAATCCACAACAACCTAAGCTCAACCTACTCGATATTCCTATGAACTCATACATAGTGCAGGCGCGGGCGATACGGCGGGTGCGGGCGTGCGTGTCTTGGTGTCGTCCCTTACACCGTCCCGGAGCGGCTGCGACCGTGGAAATCCACACGTTGAAATCGCAAACAGATGCTAGATGCTAGACCAAGCACTGTGAAAATTACGGGCGGAACGAGCCGATAGCTCGAAGCAGGCGATGGCGCGCGCGGCCACTGCGAACGCAACGTTTGATTTACACGCACCGCGCCTGCACTCGCGCCCGCCGCCACTCTGAATAAGGCCTATCGGTTAATTGCGGTATATTACGGCTTAATGTTTTACTCGTAAGTACTGATTTTGATTTCTTGGTTGTGAAATATAGAGGCCGTGAGTTGTTCTTTCCGGAATTTTAATCACATTCTTGGACTAACAGGGAATTTTTACTTTAAAATACAGTCTAATAACAAAAATTTAGATGTTTCTAATGAACCAGCAGGTCGATTCAGAACCTTACGATAACTTTGTTGTCGATCGATTGATTTCTTTTGATTCTTATTCATAACACCCGAATCGAACGTCAAACTGTCGTATTCGAAACCGAACCGAAATGACGTTACACCCGTACGATTACTCGTACTTCTCGACCGGCAAAGGCTACTTAAATACAAACGTTACTCAGAACACAGTTATCGAATGAAACTTGCCGAATGTACTATTGTTTACAAAGCTAGAATGCAATATGGTAATCTCTTATTATTTTAAATAAAATCCAGATTTTGTTAAATTTTATTAATTTACTTTAATGCGAGACTAATGCATTCCTATATTTTCGACCTTTAAATTCTTAAAAATGTATGTAAAAGGATTTCATTTCTCTTATAATCTATATTTCTATATATTTTTATATTTGCCGACTAACTCCGTAAACGTTTAATAACGATATCGTATCCGTTTTAAGTCGAATGTTCTGAATAGCTCGGAAAGCGCCCTTCGATTCGAGAAACTATATCCAATCGAACGATTCGGTTAAGATATCGAAGAGTTCTAAATCGGGGTCCTGGTCTTATACGGTTGGACGAGAAATGGCTCGGGAGTAAGGGTAGTTAGTACCACTGAACTTTTCGCACGTTTTAGCCCCAAACTTTGTTAAAACTTTTTAGAAGGCATACAAGGACTGTAGTTCAACTACAAATTAATCAAGTTTTACCCGCATTTGAATATAACGACAGACAATACGATCTCAGGTGCTGTATAAGCGCAACCATGGCTGTACTCGCAGACTACGCCCGCTATCGCTACACACAAATATACTTTTTTTTGTGCGGCAAGCGACAGTTATTTGGTGTAATTTCAGGAGACGTGTAATTTTAGATGTGGCATTACAATATTCTGAATGATTTTATTCCAACCCCATAAAATGTGATTACAGTAATAACTTTCAGTAGTTGCTTTTACCGAGATATTTTATTTTTTTCTTTTCCTTGTTGTATATTAATAAAAATTCGGAATAATATTAATTTCGACGATGTTGAACAATATTCATAAATTTTTACTGATTTTTTTTTATTATTTTGATTTGAGAAACATTATCATTTCCTCGCAAACTGGGTTTAAGATTTTCATAATATATTTCATTCGTTTCAATAAAACTTCACATATTAATATCTCAGTTTCCAAGAATGGAGATTTTTTAGCCCCGCACTAGGGAAACCCTGTGTCGCGGGTGCCATGGACTCACACATAGACAACCACAAATTTCATCCAAACTTACGAGAGACATAAATGTAGGCCATGCAAATATTTCTCCCGGCCCGGGAATCGAACCCGGGACCTCTGCATAGTAACCATTCGGCCACAGAGGCAGATAAGATTGTATTAATTACCATTTTGATTATTTTACGTATTATGTCTTGAAATGGTATCATCAGATTATGGCGTAAATATTAACGTAAGGTTAGTATGCAATCAGAATACTATCGTAAAATTTCATCGTCATTAATCTTTGGATTCCATTGAAAAGCATACCCACAGGCTAGGAGACCCCCCGCACTTGCGTTTTTCGAGCGTCAGCGACTTGCCAACCCACACACAGCGTCGACATAACCGCGACGTCCTCGCGGGGGTCCTTTATAGGTGACTCGAAATTAGTAGAGGTGAAGCTGCAAAGCCTTGAACATCGCAGTAAAGTTGCATGCATGTCCGTATTCTGCAGGATGTATCACGGAGAGCGTGCGATGAAATTGCACGATTTCAGGCGAGGGGTTAGGCCATAGTCCATCACGCTGCTCCAATGCGGGTTGGGGACTTCACACGTTTTCCGCGGGTTGTGAACCTTCTTCGATGAACAGGTTTCATCGCAATGTTTTCCTTTATCGAAAAGCTCATAGTAAATTTAAAACTTTATTTCGCCCATGATTTCCGAGAAACTCAAAAGTGTGATCCCGGATTTGAACCCATGGCTTCTGCTGAGAGGCGGATAGGTCAGGCTACAATGGTTTTTCGATCAAATTTAGTTGAAAATAATTAAAATTACTTTGTCCATATTGAGTAAGTACTTCAGTAGTTTACTAAAGCGCAACTCTGCAATCCCAGTTCAATCGAAAAGTTTTAATGAAAAATCGGGCATCGAAAAATGTTTTAATATTTTTTTCCTTCTTTGTTCTAAACTTTTCATTGGCCGAATTCATTCCAATATATTCTTATGGAGAAAATTCTCAATTCGATTGTATATTTTTGTATTACGTCACGTGATTACTTCGAAATTTGTGAAATGATTTCGATAATTCTTTTTTTGTTAGAAAGGGAGTGCCTTAGCATTGGTCCAATTAAAATTTATAGAAAATATTCCATCTCTAAGAGTGGCAAATTATAGAGATCTCAATGATAACAAAATTATTTATTACGTTTAGTTTTATTGGTTTCTTTCTTCAAAAACTTTTGATAAATGTTTGCCTTTCATCCGGCAACTGTGAAAGTAATTTATGCGAAAAATTAAATTAATTATAAAAAAAAATTAATAGCTGTGAAGATAATTTCGCGCCCTGAAATGGGGACGTTAACTTGATCGACAGGAAACTTCGCGGAATGTCAAATATAAAGTTTCTTGTGAGAACGAATAACTCTTTTTTTTTTGCGCACTAAAAATACACAACAATTTTATTGAGATTTTTTGTGAATTAACTCCACTACAGTACTGGTACGCCATGATGGCCATTTTGACAGATTACAATAGTGAGGTCAAATATCAATTCATTGTCGAAAAAAATATAATCAGATGAGTGTCGCATCTATAAGTTTTTAGATTTATAACTAGTATTGTTAGCTGATTTAAAAGTTAAAACAAAAATAAAAATGTTTACTTATTATCGTAAATTCCAAACTGCTTTATTTGCATTGAGCGTTGACGCGAGTTTGCCGAAGGTAGAAGTTGTGTTGGCCAGCGATCCCATAAGTGACGATCGTATTAGATTTAATTTTTTGAAATTTCGAATTTCGGAAAACAAATGCCAAGTTGTGTCGTAAAATTATACATTCCATAAATTTTACTACACGTGTCATTGACTTACAATGACACGTGTCTATTGATTACAATGTACAGCAATTAGCGCCTTCAACGTAGTTAAGAATTAATACGAAACTGATGAGTGGATAAACGTCAAAACGGCCACCATAGCGTGACGGTACTTTAGTTTTCTTATGATTATTAATACTAAGTTCGAACACTTAGAAAACATTTCTCCGACCCGGTAGGACTTGAATCTGCGACCATGCTGCACCGTAGTTAGTTAGTTGCGGTGTGAAGGGTTTTCAAAAATCTGTCACTAGATGTCACTAGCGGCGACGAATGAAGAAAGCCAGTTCAAAGATCTATAAAAACATATAGGAGAATTTCAATAACTCGATAACTAGACCTGTGGCTCAGTTAGTAAGAGCAATGCTACGGTGCAGCATGGTCGTGGGTTCAAATCCCACCAAGTTGGAGAAATTTTTACATGTGTTCGATTTTTGTATTAATAATCACGTACCAGTGGCGAGGCGTCCATATAACTTAATCTCCACCGGCTTGCCTAAAATTTTCCATTAAACCTTATTCCAACACATTATAGTTTAATTTGTTTTAATGTTTAATCGTTGCCAAATGTAAAACTTTCTTAATATAATGCAATAAAAATATTATAATTGCAAATTAATACAAAATATGATTAATTTCTATTTTGTAAATCTTAACAATAAATTATGTTACATATGTATATATATTTAATTGGGTGTTGCTTTCTAATAGGACTACGTTATGAATGTAGAAGGTCATGGTAATTCATAGGTAACTAAAATAGGAACACTTAGGATTCATGTGTTTGTTTACATACTTTCGTATCGCGACGGGCGGGTTAAAATGTAAAATTACTTTAAAACCTATGGTTATTTTATGTGTAGAATAAGTTATCCTGTGAAACGAAGTGAACTAGTATCTAGTGTCCTATTAAGTATTGTGTTTAAATGTCGCCAAGTGCCTTTTTAAGGCTCAGTTCACACTGACGCTGAGTCGAAGCGTTGCGTCGTCGCGTCCTGTTTTTCAATTACATCGCCTGGCGACGCGCGTTGACACGTGACGAAGCTCGCATTAGTACGCCTGGATCACAGTGTGGTCGGCGTCTGACGCCTCACTGCGCTCAAGTAACGCGCAGCTCCGCTCGACTGCAACGAAGCGTCGATGCGCGACGAAGCTTGACTCCATATTTGCATAACACAAATTTGTACCTTAATCTTAGGAAAATAGAGGTAAATACGCTATAGGTGAAAAAAAATGACGCGTCGCAACGCTTCGGCTCTGTGTGAGTTCAGCCTTAACAGGAAAATAAATGTTTGCAAGTGTTTTTTTGTTTTTGTGAACAGTTTTTTTTTACCAAGAATACAAATGTTGATGCTTTACTGTTTCTAGTAGGACAAACGGACGTGTTAGTAAAAATGCACACGGTTAATTGTAAAATACTAACAAATCATAAACATCAACTTTCGTTTCATAACTTTTAACAATTCATCAAATTTTACTTTCGTACAAAAAAGATATATCGCTCTACACTGTGCTAGCTCCGTGCGGTAAAAAGTAATAATAGAATACAGTTAACTAACCTTTCTTGTGATGTCTTGTAAAATTCCCGAAGACACTACCCAATCTTTGTTGGTTTCTTGACGTACACAATTCTAAAGACTTTAAGTCATCAGAATTTTGTGTCAACATGGAAGACTTCTCCATAGCGCTTGTGTTCACAAGGAGTTCCGCCTCTAGTAAAAGAACAACAGTCGCATAGAGTAGTTTGAGTTCTTTACAGCAAAACATTGTTTTGGCACTAGATTATCGTCACACCATCTTTATTTCACTTAGATTTATTGTCATTTTTGTTCTTAATGCTACCGTTGTATGCAGTTTGAAGCTGATGACGTGTGGTGATGCATTCTGCAAAGAAAAAAAAAAGGAATTTTAGTTATTTTTCATTAGAATAAAACAAATAATTTTAGACATATTCTTTTGTGAAACTTGTTTATTCTTATAATCAGATCAAGTTGAGGACAACTTATACGTTTTCACCAATATAGTTAGGTCTTTTCAGGTATTACGCATAGTAAAACAAAAAGACTTTGAGTTCTCAGGTTTTCGCGATTATTAAACATAGGAAATTAAAGTATTATTCCAGATTTGAATCGCGTATATTTGTTTTTTCAAACAAACCAACGTTTCGGGACCTTTACAGGTCTACCGTGACCATGGGACAAAGGGCCTGAACTTAAACGTTTAAATCCGGAAACATAGTTTCATTTACTAGTTATATTGTTTTTATTTTTATATAATATAAAAGACAAATGAACAGACGAGTTGCGTATTTACATTTGCAATATCAGAGGAGCTGCCACCGCTTTGCCAACCTTCGTGAGCTCTGTTTACTCGCTTTTTGAAGGACCCTCTGTCATAGTTTTGTGTTTTTTTTTTATAATATCAAGTGACGGGACGAACAAGAGTACACCTGATGGTAAGCTACACGCCTGTCCATAACAGTTGCAGTGCCACTCAGAGCTTTACATCACAAAGATTTAAGGGGAACTACCCATACATTGCGCCCAGCACCCAGAGACAACCTGTTCAGCACTCTTCAAAAACGGAACGCAGTAATGCTCACATTACCTACTACTTGACGGCAGAAACAGATGGCAGTATTGCCCTAGACAAACTCTTTCATAAGGAGCTCTACTGCTAATTAAATATTTTAAGCAATGAGCGATGCTTCAAAATGAAATGTGTCCAAAACCTCGAGTGCACAGCGAGACTATGCGAATGTGTCCATACAAGGCATGCGGCAGGCGTGCACACATAGTCGTGCTGCTACGATGGATTTGCACTATTTGTCTTATTATTATACTTGACAAAGCTGTGTAATGAGTATGAAAATTTGCTTTAGGCGAGTATTCTTGAAAAGCAACATTCTATTTAAAATGCTTTTGAGTACATTTTTGTACAAACATTCGTTCAAACCTTGATATAAAAAAATAAAACATACTTAATTACTCTTAATATCGATTTACCTAACTGTACTGACGTTTAACAAACTCCGTAAACGGTACTAAATAATTCAGTTTGAAAGCAAAGTTCCAAGAACAAGTACCGGCAGTTGTAAAATACTTAATAATACCTTGTAATTACATAAAAACAACTACATATAGATTGATTGTATTTGCTATTTAAGTGAATATTTATTTTAAACTTTTTATGACAATTCAGAAGCAGTTATAGCTATAGACATTTTCGTAGCAGTAGAGATCCTAGTGAAAGTGTTTGTGCAGGTAAGTGCTACCTACTGCCTACTTCATCTATTCTGCTGCCAATCAGTACTGTGAGCATAAAGAAAAAGAGCATAAATGTGAGGTAAAATTACAGACGTTTTATTCATTTTTTATGAATTTTTGTGAAAATTCAATTTGACCAACTTCTGCTATCTCAATTTTTTTCTTCCGATACAATAAAGCTATCTTTACAAGACACTGAGTCTTTTAGCATTAAAAAAAATGTTGATTTTATTCATTTTGTATGAAAATATACTTCATGAAATTTGATCAACTTCTTCTCTCCCGATTTTTTTTCGTCTCATACAATGAAATGATCCTTCTATAAAACTGAGTCAATCAGGACTAAAAAAATTATGATTAATTTTATTCATTTTTATGGGTAACTCACTCTTGACCAAAAAATTGACAAATCCAAAATTGTTTTCAAAAAAACTTAATGTTCCCTTGTATATTCTATGGTTTCGGATTTCCCTATACTGTCCCATTTAAAAGAAGCACTCTGTTTATGGTTTAATATAGACTAATAATTATTATTTTTTGACAACATAGAATACATAACAATTTGCTAACTAAAGGGCTAACTTAGAATAGCAAAGTATTAGATTTCGTTATTAACTGTAATGTAAGACAAAGACGGCCTGAAGTTTGAATTGCTAATTAATTTTGGAAGAACGCTTAGTATTTTTAACCCTGTCGATTTCAAATAAATCGATACATTACTCGCTATTTAGGTATTCACGGCAACCGGTAAATGAATATTTCAGTTCTAGATAAAGAAGAAATTTATCTATGCTTTCTAATTGTGCTACGAGAGTTTTTTGAGAGTTGTTGTTGTTCGATGTTAATGAATAGTAACATGATGGTGTCCGCCAGAGTTCAGAAAATCCTCCACTTAACAATAAAAAGTTTGGGTATGTCCATTAAAAAGTTATACGTTTCTACTTTTAAAACTGTTATATGACGGATTATGTATATAACAGGTAGAATTTTGGACTCCAAGTATTTTTTTTTAATTGTGATTAAACCCGTCCAGTGGGCGGTGATGAGGAAACGGCTGCTCACACATGTTACTTTTACCAAAACTGAACGTGAAATTGATTTCAATGGAAAGTACCCTTACTAAAGAAAAAAATAATAATTAGAAGTTGACATAGATAAACATTTAAATTGGAAAAAACACATACACAAACTGAAAGTTAAATTGTCTAAATTTGTATATGCTTTAAAAGAATTTAAAAAAAAAACCAACAGACTTTAAAACTGCTTTAACTACTTTTTTAAACTATGCTGTAATTCTATGGGGCAATAACACGGATACGCCTAGTCACTTCAGTACACAAAATAAATTAATTATAATTCTCACAAATGTAGCCCAAACAGATAACAATATGTAGCAGCCACCAGATGTGGCGGAATGTCAAACCCTCTTTGAACATACAGGCACGTCATAGTGCAAGCAAAAGTAACGACCATAGACTATAAATCAGCATAAAGACGCAGGTACCAAATAAGTATAAATAAGTTTCTAACCAAAATATAATCAGTCATCTACCAATCAACGACTCAATTATTTCTACCTCCATGGCGCAACGGTGACCACTAACACCCTTTCACCTGCGCTATGGTATAGTATACATTTATATACTCTACACAAATTCATTAAATAATTTTGATTAAACAATTAGAAAAAATCCTTCTATGCCTCTTCCAATTGAGCTACGGAACGAATCAGTAAATTGCCTCCGTGGCCGAACGGTTACCACGCCGGACTGCCACGCAGAGGTCCCAGGTTCGATTCCCGGGCCGAGAGAAATATTTGTATGGCCTACATTTATTTCTCTCCTGAGTTTGGGCGTAATTTGTGGTTGTCCATGTGTGTGGCCATAGCGCTCGCGACACAAGGTTTTCCCTAGTGCGGGGCTATGTTGAGTGTGTGCTTATTATTATTATTATTCGATTTTTTCAAAGCTTTGCTGACACTTTAAAATATCTCGTATACCTTCAGGGCTTTAGTTAAAAATGATAAAGCCAATGTGATTTTTATCTTTTCACCGTATTCATCTCGCGTACAGTTTTCTATAAATTATGTAGTAAAATAATCGTGCCAAATATTGTCCGCAGCGTCGCCGTTTCCTATGTCGTCTTTTATGCATGAGGGAGGCCGTTTCCATGACGGAACTTAATTCCGAATTCCAGAAATTCCACGGCGAAGGTTTCGTTTATTGGACATGTGTTTTATAATTACACACTAAATATAGGCTCATCAATGCTACGCAACGGAATATCAACGCATAGTCTGAAACTGTTTACAATGTAAACTGCGTCTATAGAATAGGATGAGTTTGCCAATTTGGCCACTTCGAAATGAAATGACGTCTTTTTAGTGTAAGATTTAGATAAGAAACTTTTTCAAATAAAAATCATACCGCTTCTAAATTTAAAATGTTGGCGTTAATAATTTGTTTTCATTTTGGTTCTTAGATCGACTTTCAAGCATGGATAATGTTAAAATTCGTGCTAGTTTCGAGTACAAGTTTCGAGATGGCGCTAATGCAGTGCATTGCAGCGGCATATTAAGCTCATAATTTTTTTTCATTTATTTATAAGCTCTATTAAAGTACATTATAAATACATTGCAACCTAGTCAAATATAAAACTAATAAGTAATTTACATTTCACCATATCTAATAAATAAACAAAGTGAAATAAGAATTCACCCACTGGAAAGTTACTTATTATCTATTAAGGTGAAGGCTTTTTTATCATGTGTTCTTTTTGTTCAGTGTCACTGGCACTATTTTAGTTTCATCATACACGAACACTACACTAGTTCAAATGGTTTTGTCCGTTTTAAACGTCTTATAACATCTGTGTGGTCTAGGAGCTGAATGTCGACGTTCACATAATGGTGCAGCCTGCATTGCTGGGCTTCGGCGTACTTCTGCACTATATTGTCTGTGAATTCCATTTCCAAATTTCGATGGAGGTTTTCGTTTCGTGGGTAGAAAGGTGCATTTACAATGTTCCTAAGTGCTTTAGTCTTGGAAAGTTGTGTAATATTCATATTGGTCTTCGGGGTGCAATTCCAGAGCTTTATACCATAGGTACAAACTGGACCTGCTTATACAATACGTAGTAGTTTATTGCTTAAAGATAGCGAAGAATGTCTGTCAAGCAGTCAGTAGATAGTTTTGTAACGAATGTCTAATTCTTCTCGTTTTTTCTTGACGTGGACTTTCCAGGACGAACTCTTTCACAAGGAGCCTTTAGCCAACTGCTACGACTACGACGAGTCTAGACTTAAGCTTATGAATAAGTCCTTTATGCCAGACCTTATCAAAAGTTTGGGCTACATGCAAAAATACAGTAGATAATTACGCATTGAGCTGATAAAGATACAAATTTTTAGCAAGATGGCGGAGGTATACAAACAACGTAGGTACATATTTTGATGAAATAATTTTTATTTTTTATTATTGTTCTTTTTTTTAATTTCTTATGTAT